TGTAGATTCCCAAGCACCCAGGCATGAGAATAAAGGTGAAATAGAAGGCTGCCTGAGAGGTTCTTCAGGTGAGCTTCAGCTAACACAGCTGGGGGAGAATGGAATTGCATCAACAACTGGGGTTCATTCAGAGCAGACTATTAAGTTGTGGGAGGTAGCAGAACAAGGTTGGAAGGAGGAATGGCTGCATGCCTCACCAGAAGAAGGTAGAGGATCCCTTCTGCAGTTCCCTGCCCTGGCTTCCTTTGGCAAGGAGTCTGGAAGGACCCAGAAAGGAGAGATGAAAGAACTGATAGCATATTCAAACCTGGACCTAATATCTGGCATGGAAGCAGAGAAGAAGCCTCAAGCATAGAGAGACTGAGGAAGCCTCTTCCACTGGAACAAACAAACCTTGCTCCAAGGAGGCATGCCACCAGAAGGACAAGTACTTCAAACCAAGTGATGCAAAGCTCGGAAGAGAGGCTGGGAGGCATACGTCTTTACCCTGAACAAGAACCTACAGACTGGCTGTCCTCAGTGTAGTAACTAGAAGCAAAGATTTACAAATATAGGCTGCTTGAGTTTACCTTGAGAGTTTTGTGGATATGGAGGCTACAGAAGAAGGTAGGTTCAAATGTACCACTTCCTGAGGACAAGTACACAGATATACCTAGGCAAAGCAACCTGGAATTGGGGGCGTAGGGCAGGCCATGTGGCACCCACAGCACTGTATTCTACACTTCATTACTGCTTCCCAGAGCCAGGATCTGCTGACTGAAACCACCAGCTTACTCTGCTCTACTGTGAAAGATTAGAGCATCAGTTTAGGGTACCTCATGTTGCTTTAATTAAGACCACCTAGTCCTATTATGCTATTTTGGAGACAGAAATGGTTTGCTTTGAAAATTAATATTTCTCTTTCAGTGATAAAAACATGTAATCTCTAAGCAATGAAACTTAGCAAAAGGGAGCAGACCATAGGCAAAAGTAATTGGAGCTGAAAAGTCCAACCCTCTCCCATGGATACCAATTTATAGTCAGAAACATGGGAAAGATATCTATGAACAAACAAGCAAGACAAGCCTCTACATATCACTTTCAAATAGGACTTCAAACACAAAGCTTCTGCTTGCCTACCTAGAATTAAGCATGGAAAGCCTGAGAATGACGACTGAATCACTCAAAGCTTTCAAATAGCATTTTTATTTCTATTTAAACTAGGAGAAAGTACCAGTCTTCAATCATTTCTGTGGTAGAGAGAGCAGGATCAGAGAAAAAGCTATTGAACCAGATGGGGAATATCTGCAGTCTTAATAAGGTCCATGGACCACAAAAAACATTTCCAAATTAGATCCAAATTAAGTGTGCATGACTTCATTATAACTCTCAAAATAGTCAAAACTTACGATTCTTTCACACATAGGAAGTAATGAAAAGGTGCAAAGAAAAAATGTATTATGCATTTTAAGCTCCTTTGAAAGACCTTGTTTAAAAGATGGCACATAAGCAGAATCAGAAGTTTAAACATGGATAAGGAACTACAATCTTTAAACTTTTATACAGTTCTAAGCAATCAGGAAAGACCAAGCCCTAAAGCTCTTGTTGCTACCAGATGTTCTAGCACTTAGAAAATTTCCTGTTAGAAGGCTTAGTATTTAAAGTTATAGTTTATCATTAAATGGTTTTTCTAAAACCTATTATCACCTCAATACTAGAAGGCAGGATTATCCAATCTGTACCCATTGATGTTGTCCTATACATCACCACCACTGTTATTGAATTCTGGAAGACAGGTTCATATTATTTCCCCATATTGCAGATGGGGATGAAATTGAGACACAATTTGCTTAAAGCCGCCACAGAACTAATGGCAGACTTCAAAAGAGATTTTCTTAATTTGTAGCTCATTCCTTAGCTACTATGCAATACCAGCTCAATAGTATCTATTGTATTGTAGAAGTATTGTAGAAGTATTGTAGAAGTATTACTAATAATCACAAGGAAAATAGACATTTCGGATGAAAATCTGGGCATGAAATTAAACTAGCAAATGTTCATAATATAGGCATTTCTTTACATCCATCAAATACAGAGAACTGCCAACTTTATCGAGCCAGCCCAAATAGTGTATACAATATATTTCCTCAAGATAGAGTGCCTAGTAGACTAAAATTAACTACAAAACTTCATTGAATTGAGAATGAATGTATAAAACATGTGCAACGATCCCAGTGTATTAACCATAATGAACCAAGTTGTGAGATTGCATCTCTCCTAATGACATAAATTTCCTTTGCTGACTTAAGATTGGTGGCTTGTGTCAGAGATGAGGTACTGAGGCAAAAGAACATGCAACCATTAGTTTGGGTCAGGAAGGAAGACCTGGGGACATGATTCAGACTTTAAGTGCAGGAGCTCCTAATTCAATTACCAGAACAGCACATTCATGGAAGATAAAAGAAGGTACACCTTTAGGCTGTGGTGATGGTTACTAGCTTAGAAAAGTAGTAATGGCTCTTTTTAGACCTGTAAAAGACTGCCAGCTATGTCAACTAAATGGCATACTGCCTTTGTGCACCACTGAGCTTGCTTCTAGTAGACTATTGTAAGAAACAGAATGCTGGATTGGATGATCATTTGGTCTGATCCAGCAGGGTTCTTTTATTTCTTCTATATTTTTATGTTGACGCACCAGGCACCAGTCATTGCAGTGGTCTTTAGTGGTGCAAGCTGAGATGATTAGAAATACCAGTCTCAACAAATTGAGCATGAAATATCTTTATGGACTTTACAGTGTGGGAATTATTAAATTCAATATTTTATGATCCATTATTACAAAAGTAGAATGCAAAGACTGACAGGTTTTCCTAAAAAGCAGTTTGAATTGTAGGTAGGACACATGGTACTGTATTTAGATGCCTTGCTGCACCATTTCTAGGCACTGTCTTTATGCATGAATACTCAATTTTATGCTTTTGCTGATAAAGCACTTCATCTGAAAGCACTTCATGAGAACTATCGGAGATAATGGCCTAAATTTAAAATACTACAGCAAAATATGTCTAAATACATAATTTACTCTTCTTCAGCATTGCCAATACAAAACTGATAAAGAAAGGAAGCATCTCAGCCATAGTAAGCATAGTCCAGAATTAAGCACTCTGAAGTTAAAAAAAACTGGAAAATGAGAACATTCTTCAAGGGACTTAAAGAATTTAATATTTAGTTAGGCTGAACCCAGTCTTCAATCAGTATCCAAAACAAGATAATCAGTGCAATGTTGAATATACTGAGTTAAAAGTATTATTATATTTATATCCCACCTTTTTCCTTTCAAAGAACTCAAAGTTGCTTACATAATTCTCTTCTTCCTTTCAATCTTATCCTCACAACAACCACCTTGTGAGAAAGGTTGGGTTGAGAGTCCGTGACAGGCCCAAAGTAACCAAATTAGCTGCACGATTGAGTAGGACTAGAAGTTAGAGATTCAGATCCCCAGTCCCTCACTCTCTGCCACTACACCACATTGGCTCTCAATTTCAATTCAACTGAATTTCAATCAAAAAGTAATTTCAACTGAGTCCAATCAGAATTCACTCCTACTTAGTAAGCTGGATCCATGTTTAGTCATACTTCAGTAGATCCACTGACATCAATAGGACATGGTCATGGCTATGTAATTAGAACTTATTTCAATCCATGTATTCTAAATCTAATAGATCTAATTGTATCTAAATCTAATTGTACATGTCTATTCAGAAGAAAGTGCCTCTGGATTTAATAAGAATTATTCTCAAGTAAGCATGGATAGGGTCACAGCCTAAGACACTTATGTGCTTCAACCACATTTTTCCATCCTCAGAACATTTGGTGCATAAAACTCCTTTTGCAAAATGGTAAGCTGGTGGCACCTATGCCAATGTCCTATGCTCACAACCAGGGTTGAAAAAAATCAATGATCTTAAAAAAATAAAAAAAAAATAAAAAACACAGATTTTTAAAAATTAAATCAGATTTTAAATTGGATTTTTGTAAATAAAATGCTGTTCTGGGAAAAATCTATTTAAAGATACTTTCCTATTTAAGACACATTATAGTCCAAAGGTTATTCATCATGAATATTAGTTTTTAATTATGTAGCATGAGGCTGTATATTCATGCAATGTTTAAATTTTTTGGTAAATAATTCCATTAATCCATTCACAATATCATGCTCTTCCAAAGGTTTCTATAAGTTTATTGGGCAATTTTTCTGTCTAGAAGATATAATCACAGATTCTTTAAACTGTGATTTTGTGTCTGCAGAGGTCGCATGCCTTTTCTTCACAGCAAAAATGTTCTAAAATAAACATACAGAGTTGAGAAAAATCCCTTAATTCCACTGTACCTTCACAAATCTATGTACACAGAATCAACCCCTTACCTCCTAAGTGCTAAGTTTCAAAAAATTCAATGAATAGATGAAAATTGCTGGGAGTGGAATAAATCTTCACAGAAAGCCAAATGTGAGGAAGCACAAGTCTTTGGATCTTTTTTGTACAGCCTGATGTTTATCATATTATTCCTGGAGAAGAAAACCTATAATGGCAGCAGGCTATAAAAGAGATCCTGTGTGGAAATATTTTAATTAATTTCCTCTACCTACAGGTAAGGCAGGCAAGTGTGCACATTATGTATAAAATCATTATTTAAATCTATTTATTATTTAAATCTATTTTATTTAAATCATTATTGAATAGTGATTTAAATAAAATCCACCCTGTGGAACAATGCTATCTAGCATTTCCCTAGAGGATACTTTTAATAGATCATATAAAAACTCACTGCTAAGATTATTACAAAGCTAATTTTACTAGAATTCTGTGCAATTATTATTAGTCACCTTGACAGTCTGTATGGAAACCTTTACAGAAACAACGAAAAACTTTACTTTCAAAACTACACGAGGTGCTATCAGTTTGCCAATCTCCTGCCCTGAAATTGTTGAAACAATGTATGAACACTCATGTTTTACTTACTGTTTGAAGATTTATTTCTTCTTCTCCCATAGGTTCATCCATAATTTGTTGGCCATTCTGCAAAAAAACACGTTTTGTTTAAAAAAGGAAGTTAATATGGCAACTGAAGTAGATACATTTGTCTCAATCTTTTGTCTACCAAGTTTAAACATGTTTGTCTGAAACAATGAATATAAAAGGTAACTATAACTACTACCTTGCATGGTGTTTACAGGAAAAAACACACAACCTCCTGGAAAGAAAACAAGGAGAAACCTCTTCAGTCCTACTTGCCTACAATTTATTTAAAATGCTAGTAGTTAGAAGGATGAGGATGACAGCTCTTCTTATAGACAAATGAATATATAAATTAGAATTTGACAATGGCAGATATATTTGTGATGAGGATTTTTTCCCCAAAAACATTATTCCAAAGGTCTTCATCATCTTTATCATCCTTTAATGGCAGCAGATGATTTGGATACTGCACCTGTGTTGTTACAACCTAGAATTACATTGGCATTTCTAGCTGTCATATCACACTGCTGATTCATGCTTCATTTAAGGATCTACTAAAGCCCCTATTAAATCAACATGCACCATCTTACCCTTTTAAAACACTACGCTCAACCTTGAAAAAAAATAATGAAGAACTCATTTTGGGTAGCAATTTTACCTGAAGTAACTCACATTGCGTACAGATTTGTAGGCAAGAGATTAACATGTCTCTCACTATTGTAACTCTGACTTAAAACTGAAAAGTTAGGAACAAATTTTATGTTATGTTATGAATGAGAAATTGAATGGAATTTAACCATTCTGATTTAAGTGATTCAAGTAAGTCTAGCAACTGGGTCAGTATAAGTAAATTCACAATACCAGGAAAAGTAACCCTATTTATGAACCATTTGATCTATCAGGTCTTATCTGGGGTACATCATAAAAGTAATCTAACAAAACAGACTATGTAAACCTAATCAAACTAGAATAACATTGCTTGAGTAGATAAAGAGCAAACTGCTTCTTAGAGCATGAGAACTGAGAGGAAAAGTGTGGAGGAAAATGACCACCAGTTCCAACACTGATGCCTTCCTTACAGCTGAAGCAGGATGCAAGGACTTCCCTTTAAAAAAAAGAAGAAAAAAACTGGCTCACATGTGCAAACTTCCTCCTCCCTGCTTAGGACCTCTGTGTAGAGGAAGTTAAGCATCCGGACAAAACAAGAGGGAACAGAGGGAGGAAAAATACATGTGAAAGTAACCAGAAAGTAGCAAAGAGAACAAAAACAACAGTAATTCAAAATCACAGTCCCTGCTAATTGTCTGACAGTGACCCCTTGCACACTCACACTCTTAGCACCAGGAACATACTGCGTTTGGTCCATTCTGGGAAATGAGGGGGTGATGGGAATGTTTAGCGAAAGATTCCAGAGATTTACATTGAGAACTCTTGCAATAAAATTCAGATCAGAGGGTCAGATATCATCCACTAGCAGATGTATATCGGAAAGCCCTTTGCTCCCTTCCGCTTTGATTTTCTTCATTAACTGGCCTTTACATAACAGGGAGCCACCCTGCAAACCCAAGGTTCTTCCCTTTCCATTCCTCTTGACCACTGTCACTAGCACACACATACAAGAAGGCCACTGTGTGAAATAAGCTTGGAAAATATCAGTGGCATTAAAGGTTGGGACTGGCATTAAAGGTTGGGACTATCCTCCTTAAAAATGCAACTGCCTCATAAAAGGCATGGGTAGAAATGGAAGAGATGCATCCATACCATCTAGCCAGATTTGGAAGACCTGAATATCCATCTCAAGGAAATTTGAGATTTATTTCATTTTTATACCACCAAGTAGCCAAGGCTCCCTGGAAGGTTAGCAAAAGTTTAAGGATTGTGCCAATTCCTTTCAATCTCACTGCCACTGGAAACAGAGGAATGTCCTGCCAATAGAAACAGGTTCTCAGATAATGAGATGATCCTTAGGGTGGGTTGGTGGCAGACATGAAGGCCATACAGTGATGATCAAGACGTGTACTCTGAATAAATTAAGCCAGAACACTTGCCTTTTTCTGCCTGCATCCAATGACTAACATAAATAAGAATATTATGTTTGTATACTGACAAAGTCAGTAATTGTATACTGATTTACAGCTGTGAGTAAAAGCAAAGAGGATTAAAGTAGAAGTGTGCATAGGAGAACAGTTTCCAACAGGGTAGCTATGTTGCTCTGCTGCAGCAAAATCAAAGATGACTTTGTCAGCACTTTAAATGAAAAATACATTTCATGCAGCAGAAAAACATGTAACTCACTTCAAGTGTTGTCAGGTGTATATACAGAAATGTTGGTGAGAAAAGTACATAAGTAAACAGTGGGGTCAGAGGGATAACAACTAGCCCAGCTTAACTAAACTTGGAGAGCTGACAGAAGAGTGGAGAGCCATGGAACTAGTGGAAGACCTAGTTAAAAAATGGGCCATAAAGATAGTCACCTTAAAAGGCAAGGTAAGAGGCTACCTTTCAAAGTTTGCTCTTCTCAAAGAGAAGGTCTCTTCGAGCAATGAAAAGAGAGAAAGCAGAGAAAGAGGAACTCTTGTCCCAGGTGCTCTCCATGTTGTGGTGAGAATGAAGTGAAAACAGTAGTGATGTTCCCCTTTTCAAGGGCAAAGCAAGAAGCAAGACTTACAGCCCTGAGCCCGCCAAATATGTCTGACAACTTCCATCCTGGGGGCAACGCCGGGGATGATGGCAGCTGCAGTCCCCCTCATGTGGAGGGCAACAGTTCGGGGAAGCCGAATTTAAATTCGGTGTCGTCCCCTCTTCCTCCCCCGGGCTTCGCCGTGGCAGGCGGTAGGGGGTGCTACAGCCGCTCCTCCAGGCGGCTTCCCCCGCCGAGGCACAGCCGCCCTCGCCCGCTCACACGCGAGCGCCCCGGGTGCCTGCCTACCTCGGCGCTGTTCGTGCTCTCCGCCGCGCTCTCCACAGCCATTTTCTGCCAGGGGTCCGCCAGCTGCGCCAACGGCATCTTCCCTCTTTAACTTCGAGCCCCTTTCCTCCTCCGCCGCCGCCGCCGTCTCCTCCTCCTCCTCCTCAGAGTACCAGTAAGGCTCAGGGTCGGGATCCTTCCTCCTCCCCGACGAGGGGAGGAGACTGCCGGGACGCTCCCCCCACCCCACCGGACGAAGCAACGGTGCCGCTCACGCGGCCGGCGGAGGCATTCAAACAACAGGCCGCTCAGTCAAAACGAATAAAACAAAACAAACGACCCACAGACAGACAGACACACGCGCGGAAGCGCGCGCGCGCGCCCCCGATCTCAGCGCCGAACTCGTTCTGCGGCTGGGCTACTACCACTCACTCCGCTTCCGCTCTCAACATGGCGGCGCCCGAGCCGTACCTGCCTGTCAAGCTGAGGCTGATTGCGTCATTCCCGAAGGCGGCGCTGACTCAGCCAATCAGGGGCAACCTCAGGTAGTAAAGGGACGCGGGGGGGGGGGGGTAGAGGCTGATGGAAATGATAGTTGTTTTAATCCGGCTGCGACAGGCGTCGGGGAGAAAAGGGGGAAAGCAGCTAGGCTGAGTCTTTTCGTACGCTTTCCGCCACAGCCTCCTGAGAGAGGTGCGGCAGGAACCATGACTATGCTTTGAAGGCGTGGACGTCCTTTCTGTGTTAAAATTCCCGCGTCATGTTTTACCCTTCACACACTTTTTTTAAGCGTATGCGTAAAGTGGCATACACACGGGTGTTCTCCCTGCCCGCGCCTCCCCCAGATGAACTGATCTGGCATAATTGCCATCCTCTTTATAGTTATTGTGACGACAGCGACGTGGCTGAGAATCATTGAGATAATCTGCAGGAAGCAATTTGTTGTTCGGGACGGGCTCAGTCCTACGCTGCTTGCGTGTGCTTAGAAATAATAAAGCAAGTTTTTTTTAAAAACCTGTTAATCGGTCAGATCTAAACATTGCTAGGAGACATTCCTTTCCCTTTGCAAAGCTAAATGTACGCTAGAGCGGTAGCGTAGTTAAGGAGGTAGCCAAAGGAATCCCAAGTATGTAACAATATTTATTATACATATTCATCATGCCCTGGTACTCTTAACTCTTCCTTTCGAGTCCCTTTTCTGTGGTTTATCCTACTAACCAAATGGATATCGTAAACTTCCTTGTGGCACGGACCAGTCTGTTTTGCTTATTTTGCACTGTAAAGCACATAATCCAACCCAGGCAGTGCTGAATCCCTATTAAGTGAAAGTAGAGAAAGGTTGGGGTTAGGTTTAAAGTTCAGCATGGATAGGAGTGGGGAGCTAAACCCATCTCCTACCTGTGTTTTCCTCAAAGCTTTTATGTATTTATTGATTTATAGCTGAATGCTGTTTGCTTTCTAGCACTAGGAGCACTCTGTGTGGAAGTACCCACATCCTGACACAGTTGCATAGCTGAAAATGAACATCTAGGCCAGTGGTGGTGAACCTATGGCACGTGTGCCACAGCGGGCATGCACAGCCCTCTCTGTCAGCATGTGAGCCAAGTCACCCCAGCTGCTGAGCATTGGATAACAGTGCATATAGGGGCCACGTGCATGCTGGGAAAGGAGCAGCGGCGCCAGGCGATGACGTCACGAGTCACGACTCATTAGCCACGGCTCATCCAAGCTTTCGCATGGCCAGTCAGTGCGCTGCCAAGGATATATATATATTTGCTCGGACTGGCTGTGAGTTGTTTTTTCTAAACTAAAACCTCAGTTTTCAGGTTTTATTGCAGTGTTGGCACTTTGCGATAAATAAGTGGGTTTTGGGGTGCTGTTTGGGCACTCGGTCTCTAAAAGTTTCACCATCACTGACCTAGAAACTATCCAGAAAAGATAGATGTTTTATTCCTTGATTTTTTAAAGGGGGAAGCTCCTGTTATTTTTTTAAAAGTGCAATCCTATGCATGTTCAGATAAAAAGCTCCTAGCACTTTCTAGCCAGCAGATACTTTTTCCAGTCTAAACATGCATAGGATTGCCCTGTTAATGACATATAAGAAAATATGTGGAGGGACACTAAGAATGGCCATGGCCACATAGGTATCTTGGCCTTGAAACATGGAACCATATTGGTTCTGATGTGTGTATTATGTAGATTTATGACTAGGTTCTCTTCCATATCAGAAACTAAGCTTTGCTGAAATCAACATTTACTTACAAGTAAATAAGGACAATCATTAAACTGCAAAAACTGCAGTCAGTAAATCAGTAAAGACACATTACATCTACACTTACAGTGGTTTTATTTCAATAATTCAAAGTGACCAAGCTTTGTAAAGAGCAAATATGCTAGTTTGAGGAATTTATGGTGGAGGCAAGACTTGTAAGAGGATAAAATCTTTGGAGCATACTTTTCATGATATTTTGTACTGTAAGTACAGTATATGATGATTTCTCTGTATATTTATACTGATGATAAAAATAGGAATGCTCTTATGTGATAATCCCGTTTGTGATCAGCATGATCTTATCATGTGAGTAGCTTCCTATTTTCTTGGCTTCCTGAAGTATAATTGACATCCACCAGGAATTTAGAGTTCCTGCCAGAGCATTCTGATGTAATCTTGAGAATGTGTATGTGGGCGGGATTCTTGTAGCCACAAACAGGAGTTATAGCAAAGTATATTTGAATAAACAAGCATGTTCCATTCCTATTTTTCATTCTGAGACAAACACAAAGTACTGTGTGAAAAAGGCACAAAGCCCCGCTCTTAAATTTCTTAAAACTCCAGAAGAGACGTAGTACTTTTGTTTGTTTTCTTCCTCCTGAAGAAACTCTTTCCATAGCTTCAGAAAACAGTATTTTATTCTTATAGAAGAGACCTGATAGCAAGAATAAGACTTATGCATGAAATGTATTTTCTAACTTTTGTCCAAGGAGCTCAAAAGAGTGTACATGGTGTTCTTCTCCCCATCCCACACAGACACTTGCCATCATCATAGTGACTTTGTAAGGCGGGTTATTTTATTTATTTATTTGGGATACTTGTATTCCGCCCCATTCGCATAAGCCTCAGGGCGGCTTCCAGCAAACAAATAACAATACAAAAATATAAAAATTGGACACATCCAGGCAATAAATAAGACCAATAAATAATTTAACAATTAATTACAATAACGTTTAAATAAAAAGGTCTTGGCCTGGCGCCGAAAAACAAATAACGACAGCACCAGGCGGACCTCTCTGGGGAACGCATTCCATAAGTGGGGCGCCACCGCAGAGAAGGCTCTCCTCCGGATACTCACGGAGGGTTCCCGGAGAAGGGCCTCTGCTGCCGATCTTAGAGAGGGGGATGGCAAGTATGGACGCAGGCGCTCGTTCAGATACCCAGGTCCCAAGCCGTTTAGGGCTTTATAGGTAATCACCAGCACCTTGAATTGGACCCAGACTTCAATGGGGAGCCAGTGAAGCTGACAGAGGACTGGGGTTATATGAGAACAACGCCCAGTCCCCATCAGCAAACTGGCAGCTCTGTTTTGCACCATCTGAAGTATCCGGACTGTCTTCAGGGGCAGCCCCACGTAGAGCGCATTACAGAAGTCTAATCGGGAAGTAACCAATGCATGTATCACTGTTGCCAAGCAGTCGTCCTCCAGGTAGGGACGCAGCTGATGGATTAGCTGAAGCTGATGGAAAGCGTTCCTCGCCACCGCCGACACTTGGGCTCCCAAAGTCAGCTCCGGGTCGAGGAGCACTCCCAAGCTGCGGACCCTGTCCTTTAGAGGGAGTGCTACCCCATTCAGGACAAGGTCCAGGTCCCCCACCTCAGAGCCCAAACCACGCACCAACAGGACCTCCATCTTGTCTGGATTGAGCTTCAGTTTATTGCCCTCATCCAGCCCGTTACCTCAGCCAGGCATTGATTCAGTACAGCCACTGCCTCACCTGGATTGGTTGAGAAAGAGAGGTAGAGCTGGGTATCATCAGCATACTGATGATTCCGTAGCCCACACCTCCTAATGACCTCTCCCAGCGGTTTCATCTAGATGTTAAATAGCAAGGAGGACAAAATGGACCTCTGTGGAACTCCATGGCATAACTGCCATGGCGCAGAGCCATAGTCCCCCAGCACCACCTTCTGGAATCGGCCATTGAGATAGGAGCAGAACCACTGCAAAGCAGTGCCCCCTACTCCCAATCCCACTAGCCTATCCAGAAGGATACCATGGTCGATGGTATCGAAAGCCGCTGAGAGGTCCAGGAGAACCAACAGGGACGCACTCTCCCTGTCTCTCTCCCTGCACAGGTCATCGTACAGGGCGACCAAGGAAGATTCAGTACCATACCCGGGTCTGAAGCCGGACTGAAATGGGTCCAGATAATCAGTTTCATCCAAGAGTGCTTGGAGTTGTCCCACCACCACCCACTCTAACACCTTGCCCAGGAACAGGATATTGGCCACCGGTCTATAATTGGTGGCCATCTCTGGATCCAGGGATGCCTTCTTCAGGACTGGCCAGACTACCGCCTCCTTTAAAGGGTCAGGTACCTGGCCATCCCTCAGAGAGGCGTTGACAACCTCCAGGATCCAGGTCCTTATCCCGTGCTTGGCTTTGTTAAGTAGCCAAGATGGGCAAGGGTCCAATAAGCAGGTGGTGGGACATACTTGTCCAAACACCTTGTCCACATCATCAGGCCACAATAACTGAAACTCATCCAACAGTTTAGGACCAGACGGCAACATTGGTTCCTTTCCTGAAGGCTCTGAGTTACTAGTGGAGTCCAGATTATGACGAATCTAAGTGATTTTCTCCTTAAAATGCTGGGCAAAGTCGTCACAGCGGGCCGTCAAGGGTGGTACAGGATCTTTCTTAGGGCCTGGATGAACCAGCCCATGTACAACCCGAAAAAGCTCCGCCGGACAGCATTGTGAGGAGGCAATGGAAGCGGAGAAGAATTTCTTTTTTGCCGTCCTCACCGCCACAGCATAGGCTCGATAATGAGCTCTTAAGTGTGTTCAGTCAGATTCATCCCGTGATTTCCTCCACCTATGCTCTAGACGTCTCCCAACCCACTTCATCGCCTGTAATTCAGGTGTATACCAAGGGGATGAACGGGCTCTGCCAGGCGGGAGAGGATGCTTAGGAGCAATCGTGTCAATAGCCCTGGTCATTTCTCCATTCCACAGTTTGACCAGAGCCTCGACAGGAGCACCAGCCTTATCAACCAGAAATTCCCCCAGAGCCTTCAGGAATCCATCCAGATCCATCCGACTTCGGGGGCAGACCAACACAATAGGGTCCGCTCCCTTGCAGAGGGAAAGG